CAATCAATGAGCAGACTATATGTGATAACTTTGCATATCTAGGCTTGTGTCAATATAATAATGTAGTTAATTGTAACAATAGGATTTTAGACCTGTCTTTTTGTCATAGTGATTTACTTGTTAAGCGCTGTTCACCACTTTTAAGAGAGGATGAAAATCATTCAGCGTTACTTTTATCGGTCAATTAAATTAACATCTGCAATCAATTTAGTCACATAAACAAAAGCTATTATGACTTTAAGAATGCATCTTACTATGATATCAATAAGTTTTTGAGCTCTGTGGAATGGACCAGCCTATTTCATGACAAGGATTGTTTAAATCTTAAAATTTAAACAATAATTTCTTAAATTTAAACTTCCGCTTTACGTCACCAATAAGGAGGTCAGGATCAACGACAAGAATGTAGAACGCTGAAACATGGAATTGCAGGCACCAGAACTACGAAACGCTGACCGCCGCACAAGCGCCATCGTCAGCGTTAAGAAGGCAGCGGTAATGAAACAAAAGAACATGCAAGAAACTGGGTCGCAATACAATTTCAAATCTCTCATTACCTTTAGTTCAGAACCACTCATACGCTGTAAATAATTAGATTTGTATAAATAAGTTAGGTTGTTTTGAATAAAATTAGTATTAAGCTTTATTGGCTTTTTACTCACTCCCACAATTCGACCCCAGAATTGTTCAAGGATGTTGAAGAAAGTGTTGAAAAATTCTATTCTATTATTTACCATGCTATTGATACATGTCACGTTTAAAACAATTTCTTGTAATAATTCTTTCCCGCATTGGGTAGATAAAAATACTAAACTGCTAATCAAACGCAAAAAGGAAGCTCACAAAATATATAAAATGTCTAGGTTAGAAGCGAATTATGATAACTTCAGTACGTTAAGATCGTTATGTAGGGAATCTTTAAGTAACTGTAAACAAAACTATATTTGTAGTGTCGAGGAAAGCATTATTTGTAAGAGCGAAACTTTTTGGTCATACGTAAAATCAGTCTAATAATAGCGGTTTACCAAAAAAAATGTTTTTAAATAACATCTCTTGTGATGAAGATAAAGATATCGCTAATCTATTCGCCTCACATTTTGAAAAGGCTTATTCAGCGATAGTATCTGAAAGTTTTCCAGCATCTAATGACGTCAGCTCTAATTCTCTTGGTTTAAATAAAATTGAAATTGCAATTGAACTTGTTTATGCCAAGCTAGTTGGTCTAGATAATAACTATAAGCCTGGTCCTGGTTTGCATCCCTCAAATATTTCTAAAAATGTGTGCAGAACAACTTGCATTACCTCTTCAAATGTTATTTCAGAAATCATTAGTTCAATCAAGATTTCCTACAGCATGGAAAAAGTCTCATGTCATTCCCATTTTCAAGAATGGCAAGCGCGAGGACATAGCCAACTATCGTCCTGTTTCAATTCTATCCTACATACCTAAAATCTTCGATTCTATTGTGGCGGACATAATCACGTTTTCAGTAAAGACAAAAATTATCGATGAACAACATGGTTTCTACAAAGGGCGATCAACCGCATCAAATTTGTTTGTATTTACAGAATATTTGAACAATAATATTGAGCAAGGTCTTGAAGTTGACTGTGTCTTCACAGACATGTCGAAAGCGTTTGACAAGGTCTGCATCAATCTTTTGATCTCAAAGCTCGACAAACTGGGATTTGGAAATTCTGTTCTGAGTTGGATGCATTCCTATCTAACGCATCGCACACAACATGTTGTCATTAATAATGTATATAGATCACATGCTATATATCCAAATTCTGGTGTGCCACAAGGCTCCCACCTGGGTCCGGTTCTTTTTTCAATTTATATTAACGATGTAAAGTCTGTTATATTTAACTCCAAGTTTCTGCTATACGCCGATGACTTGAAGATATATAAAACCATAAGTAGCAATGATGACCAACTTAAATTACAAGAGGATCTTTATCGTCTAGAACGCTGGTGAAAAGTTAACCATCTTGAGCTAAATATCAGTAAGTGCAAAGCCATCAGATTCTCAAAAAAATCAGACTATCAATTACCTAACTATGTCATTTCGGAGGTACACTTAAAATCCGTAAAAACATTTTGTGACTTGGGTGTGACTGTTGATTACTAATTAAACTTTAACACACATGTAAATGCTTTGTTATCCAAAGCGAATAGAACATTGAGTCTTATTAAAAGACGCTCTGCCGAATTTTCCAATCTTCGTACTGTGACTGTATTATATAATGCTTACGTTCGTCCTATATTAGAATATTGTTCTGTGATTTAGTCACCGCATTTCAATGTACATACTGATAGGTTAGAAGCCGTGCAAAGACGGTTTGTTAAGTTTGTTTGTTTTCATTTTAACATTCTTTACCATAGAAACAACTATGACAACCTCTTAAAATATTTGGGTCTAGCACCCTTATATTTAAGACGAGAATTTGTTGACGCCACTTTCGTATAAAGTTTTTACTGGTCTCATTAATTGTAATAATATATTGTCCATGTTTTCTTTACATGTGCCCAGTCGCTGTGTTCGTAATACACGATTTTTAGATGTACCATACCATACAACCAATTATGGGAAAAATTCCTGTACTACCAGATTATCGAGACTAATAAATTCTCTATCACACGTAAATTTCGTAGGTATATCTTCTAATTCTTTCAAGTACAAATGTAAAGCTGTTTTAGGATTATGAAATGTTATTGTATATTGAAATGTTATTCTATATTCATATATATATTTATTATATATTAAGTCATTATATTTAGGTATATGTAAAATGGTCAAGTCCGTTAATAAAGTCTATATATATATGGAATTGTTCAGAGGTCTGTTTGGAAAAATTAATTAGATTAATTAAAATATTACTTTGCAAGTGCCTAATTATGCTTTTGGAGTCAAAGTAATAGCAATTCCTCAAAATTACAAATAACTAATATAAGTACCTATTATATTTATTGTTATCAAAGTACGTCTTTCAGCAGCTAGTCTATTACTGCTGTTCCCATTTAGGAATACATATTTTGAAAACACTATACTATAATGCATTTTCGTTTTTTTTCTTTCTCTCTCTCTTTGTGCGTGTAAGATGTAATCAGGATTTCTAATTGCAAGAGATCTACGTCGTCTCGGATCTACCAATTCCGGAAGTACACAATTTAAATAAACTTTTGTTAGTTTGTCTATCATTTTCATATAAAAGACTTTGTCGTAATATATTTGTCGATTTTGATCGCTTTTGTAGTCTATATGCCAAAAATACAATACTCTCTCTTAGTAATACGTAACTGACCTTGAATTTGAAAGTAATAATTATGTTTTTTATTTAGAATGGTTTTCCCTTTTTTATCTAATGTATAAATAGTTAATAATTTTTCAAATATGGCGTTGTGACTTGCAGATTAAAGGGTGGACACTCCCATAAAACTTTATTGTCGGATTATGAGGGGTTTAAAAGGACGGGCTCTATCGGCTACCTGCTAAACAGCGGCGGGTCTAAAAAACAATAATATTTATATGTACAGAAATTAGGAAATAAAAGCATAATAATAGTAAAACTAATCAAATTATGACTAAACTGCATTTTTTGTCTGTAGTTTTAGTAGGTTTTTGACATAATAATTCCGATAAAAGTTTTTTCGACACTTTTTCGTGACTTTGAAAGTGGAATCTTCGACTTTCGTCCCATTTCAAAATTCAACGAGTTCACTAACTACACTGAAGTAAATTTATGCAAAGATTAAATTTGTCACGGAAAAGATGTCGGAAGTAATAAATTATCCCATCGGTCCAAGAACGTTCGGTGGGTGTTATACCCCGATCCGAGAGAGACCGCAGTAAGAGACAGCAAATGGAACGGATAAAATAAAGCTTCAAACATGATCAGTTTTAAACCAAAATTATGAAGTTTCATAATTCGAGCATTTTTTTTTCTTTTTGAAATATCATAGTAAACACTTCAAAGAATGTCCATGACTTACTTTAATGTGAATTTTATAACTATGGTCGGCACAGTCAGACCTAATATTAGTGTGATTTTGAGCATATTTGCGATTTTATTAAAACGAAACAGGTCATTTTTTCTCCAATGTTATAAGTTCCGGACACTTATAGCATATCAAAGATATTATAAAAAAAAAATTTGGTTCAGATTCCAACTAGTTGTCTAGTATTTGTGAAACAAAACCTACTGTAAATTCACTGAAAACTAAACCGATAACATCACCTTAAGAATTGAAAGTTATAGATGAATGATTTAACAAAATTGTTGACATGAGTCTAAAAAAGTCCAGCAGTGTGAATGAGTGTATAAAATTGTGAATTAGAATGCAGGAAATTCAAACCATACGAGATCCGCTGCTTTGGCAACACTGCCTGGTATTCGAATTGTCCACTATTCTCTATATACACGGCAAAGTATATAACTGGATCTCTGAATGACAATTCAGGATGGATCTCATAATGTACAGTGCTATATTGATAGAAAACTTTTAAATGATTTGAAATGTACGCTATTTGAGAGTGGTTTTGTATGATTATAACACTCAAAATTTGTTTCCCGCAACGAAAAGTCTTGCAGCTTATTTTTAAATGCGTATCTCAAATTGGTCCACTATATCTGGAACCCGAGTTGAACTTTTAGGAGTATATATATATGCATATTCCTATTGTTACAACAGTTCTTTATTCTCTACAACTTTCCTATTTAACGTGTTGTTCTAAAATAATTAACGGAACCAATACTTTTAAATGACTGCTTTTACATGTAAAATCCCAAAAAGGATTCTATTTCTCGTGTATATATTTCTTAAACTCCGTAAAAAAACATTTTGGGTTTTTGTGGTTTATGGTGCTCCGTTGTCACCCCACACAGCTCACAAATTTAAAATTATGTATATAAAATAACTTCTGCTACAATAAGGTTATCAAAAGTATTATACACACATCCACGATTCGCATTACAAATACAACAAAAAAACAACTTACCAAACAAAGAATCCAGGCCGTCTGCCCTTGAAGAACTGTTGCACATGCACACATTAAGTTCAAGAAATCTAGTAAAATTTCAACACAATCGACCGTCCAGAGCACAGTTAATACAATTCCATACATTTTATTGCACTACACATAAATTTACAACATGTGTAACGTAACTAACACGCGTCGAAGAAAACCGCCATTACTCCATTAAATCAACGATCAACACCTGCGGCCTGCGGCACAGACGGCCACAACATAATCCAAACCACATGCGTAGTCGCTATTTGTTGGGTATGCAATCTCTTATTCAAGTAATAAAGAAGCCACAAAATGTCAAACTTCTTTACATTTGTAATATACATACCGTAAATAAGTAAAAACGAGAAAACTCTGCAAACTATCCCAGCAGAATTTTAGAATTTCCTTTCGTCTCCTAATTACAATTGCGGTGTATGTTTGGGTGCCTATATCAAACTGATTACACAGTATAGATATCTCTATCTAGACTGTGCTGATTATCTAAATCAATTTCTGTTACTTTTAATTCATAGTAATGAAAACACATATAAATACATTGAAGACAGACTAACGGAAGAGATTCAAAACGTTGGTCACGCTATTGCAATAACAAAACATTCGAAATGTACGAAAGCAAATGTTTTTAAGTTAACTTGTAAAACGAATTCCCACAGAAACCACAGAGCATCTAAAATGTAAATTGTGAACCACACTTGGCCGGTGATTTTCTTTACAGGGTAGAATTTTTAAATTATTTATTCTTCCAAGAACTGAAGATAAATTCAGAAGTATTACTTATTTCAAAATCGACGCAGATGGCATCTTCTTGTACCATGTTTGGCAGTGCATCAAGTATATATTGTATTCACTGAAACACTGATTAACTACATACTTACTATGTTACCATGTACTTAATCAGTGACTGAAATGAGTCACCCCGTCAAAATAAACAGGTTGACGTGATCATCACGTGAACAGTCGAATTACTCTAGAGACAATTCAACTTCAGCCATTTGGGCAACTGTGTTTTGTGTGCATTCTTGAACGGAGATCTATTTTCTGTGTCTCTTGCAGTTTTCGGTACCGCTACTTGTGCTTGCACACTGTTCTATATTGTAAATTTCTGAGTTATTTAAAGTTTTGAACTTTAATATTTCTTTAGCTACAATCCTTCTAAAATGTCTTTTAGTTTTAAAACAACGTTTGATGTCCATGTTTATCAAAAAGCAAACAATGACTAATCACGGAGCTCATACGAAAACACACATAAAGTAGCTAAAAAGCGCCAACATTAATATCATTGTTTAAGTATGTACCTATATTATTCGTCAACAAGCCGCAGAACAGAATCACTGGTGGATATATTAAAGGCTTATCGGCAACAGAGAAATTGCGTAAAATTTTGCTGCAGCATTCCCATATCGTTCCATACCCGGCAAGAGCAGAATTTAAAAATTGTTTGGCAGATTTATAAATACAGGTTTTCTCGATCGTGGACATCAAAAGGCAATTTCGGTGAAATTGTCATTTATTTTCTTCCTTTATATTTGGATTGCATCACTCTGTTTCTTTTCTAAAAACTGCAATAACGGCTATTTAACAAAGAAGTTTGTTAATAAAGGCGATTAATAATCGATATATTGTGATAACCCAAACCTCCCGCCTCAAAATGACGTTGAACAAAATTTGAAAAAGCCCGCTAAAATTTGAAACTTGGCCTTGGCTGTGATAGTCTACAAAAGTGGGACCCTACGTTGTGTTTTGAAAAATGGCGGGAGGCGTTCGTTCATACAAATTGGTGTACTGCGGAGCGGGAAGAGTGGTGGATTTAGAAAACTTATATATATAAAAAAAAAAACTATGAGAAATAAATCCAATAAGAGCTCAAAGGACCTTGGCCTAGAGCCCCACAAGAGCTTAAAGAATTTATTTCTCAGAGAATAAAAAACCTTTATTCTTGCTCAAACCTGAGAACATATAATAAATATTAGCAACCTCACAAATACAACAACAAACAAAATTAAAAGCCGCGGAATTCTAGGCAAAGTAAATGGATGGCAACGTTTCAGATATTATGGCAGTGTGGCCTCTACAAACAAGATGGGGGCGCACAGCGGGTGCAGGCGACAGCCACACTCCCCGTGAAGGCCCACATAGTCCTACCTCACCACTTCACGCGCGTGGTCTTACGCACCCGCATGCTCTAGGTTTTCCTTCCTATCCCCCGCAAATAAGGTAGCTGAGTAAACTCCGAGTCCGCTAAGGGCGGAAGTCTAGCAAGACCTGTAAACACCCGCACGGAGACGTCGACACCACCGCGTCCACGCCACACGACGCCCGAGTTAACTAGCGCTATCAAAATGATTATTTGGATTTTAAACAAGCATTAAACAAAAACTTAGTTGGCCACACTCCATCAACATTTGTTTAAAAAAAAAAAAGGAATTTAAATGGGATTAAGTTATGCACGTATGATTAACAATTTTGTACAACAAGAAATTTGAAAGAGATTATGTTATTCACATTTTAGCAATGATTTTATTAAATTAAGCTACATTTACGTCGGTGATTTTTACCAAAGAATTAATCTGATAATAAACAAAGAAGCTATGGTTTTTATTAAAATATTTATCTGATATTAAACAAAGAAGTTATAACTGCATTAACATCTCTGGGCAAAGTTAGGTTGTTGACCGAATTAACAAACAAACACCCCCCCCCCACACATCCCTAAACAAAATACACATAACTAAAAACACATACGAAATAAACAAAACAACACATAAAAATACGACACATAAAAATACGCAAAATTCCTTAGGGCAGGACGGAGTACACAAAAAGATAGTTTCAAATTCATCGCCAAATCTTTCGGCCAACAACAAATCCCCGATAATTAATACAAAAACTCACAAAAAACGACCTTGAAATGCCCCGGTCAACACCCCGTACTTTGCACCCTACCACTTTCTCTTTCTATTTTTAACGGTTGGATATTTGAAAAACTACATGAAATTTTCCAGAATTAGAGTTTACAACAAACGCATAATAAATCGAGGAAAAGCCATTCAAATACCTTAGATATTATAATGTCAGTCAAATTAATGTTGCCTAATTAATCGATGTTATTAACACAAGAAAAATCCCACGTCCCCCCAGACTATGATATTATCAATTTGTCTGATTTCTTTCTCAACGTTATTTCTGTTAAAGATTCACTTGTTCAGATTACGTTTGAATTTACCTACTTTACTTACACGTGCTGAAATTATGCAATGCAAAATAATATCTCGAAAATTGCCATCCAACTTTCCGCATAACATCCGCTAGATAAAACTGCCCTAGCTAACGTAATTCCCTGAAAAGCCCTACTAAAACGTATTGAAATAATGTTGAAAAGGTTAGTACGAAAATTAACGGCCATGGCGTCATCCGGAAGCGCCGCCATTTTGTAGCGTCGTCAGGTTGTGTATGCACCACACACGCGAAGCTCACATACGTGGGATCCCCGCGTGTCGCATACCTCGTAACCATAGAGAAGCAACGTCACTTCTTCCACCAACACACACGGAATCACGTGGGAAACATACCTCTCGAATCTTCAAACCAAACACGTGCTCACCAACGAAATAACCTCTCTGTGCTCGAACGGAGCGGAGAATTCCTACGTTCGCTGCCTCGTCAAGGGGGTGGAACTCCGTTAGAATGAATCGCCACTAGAACAGGAAACAAACAACGCACAGACACTTGAAAAAAACAGAGAGAGCACCAACCTGACGTCTTACTCGAAAGAAAGACCAGGTCAGACTGCCTGCGACTCACCCTTCTCAAACACGCCGATTCTGCGCATCTCTCTCTTAGTGGTTTTCGTTTCTTTCCATTTCTACCACTTTTCTTACCAAAAGTGTGGCGAGCGGAAATTTGGTTCGAAACGGCTTACTACAACATATTAACGCACGAAGAACGAGCGACTCAATTTTCGAAATTATTAATCGCCACTTCACAGTCGAGTTAGTTACAACACTTTCCCTACTTGATAGTAATTTTATTAAATTACTGAAAATTCAAAATATGAGTCATGGGACCAAATATACAAGTGTAAGTTTTTATTAATAAACATTAGGCACTAGTTTATTAAATTTGGATGTGTCCAAATCATGATGGATGCTTAAATGGACCGAAGCAGAGAATACTTTGGCCGCAAGTTTGCTATTAAGCCTTTTGGGGAATTTCGGAGAAATATGCAAGTAATACGGATTCAGAATAACTTTCTATCGCTTTCCGGCGCAACATGCAACAAACTCATCAATTCATCATAGGCTTTTTGGTAGAGCACTTTGCTTTTTTCGAAGGTTGAATTATCACAGGGAATGTCACTAATGAAGACCGAACTGAAGAAATCAGCAAAGGCATTGACGATATCTTGTTGATGAACTAACTCCTTATCTCGGAAATGCATGTTACCTGGGATGCTGGTGTTATTTCTCGGAATGGGACTATTTGGCGCGGCCGACTTGGCGCGAGCCATTTTGGCGCAAAGTCAACTTGGCGCAGGGACACTTTGGCGCGCCAGTACGTCGGTATATAATATAAAAACTATTTATTTTTCATAATGTGGTTGGCACCCTGTTATTTATGCTAAGTGTAGGCAACCAAATGCACAGTTTCATTCGCACAAATTCCAATAACTAAATGATCCACGGAGCAAGAAGTTCCACGTTTAGGAGCATGCTTATAATGGGGTGCCGGGCGCGAAGCGCCCGTGTGTCCATTAAAAAGTCGACAATACCCCATCACGTGTTGGAGACTATAAAAATTTGGTTATGCTAACAACGGGTGCAATTCTTGTATAATTATATCTATTTTTCTTGGTGCGAGTTCATTCGCGCCAAGATGGGTTGCGTCAAAGTGTCCCTGCGCTAAGTTGGCTTTGCGCCAAAATGTCTCGCGCCAAGTCGGCCGCGCCGAATTGTCCTAGACCGGAAGATGAAGTGCTCCACATCAATGGAATCCACTTCTCAAGTAATAAACTCCTGTTTAAATTATGGACTGTCACAAAGTGGTCAAGCAGCTCTGCCAAAACCTGCAGCATTAAAGAAAATCATCAGAAGAAAAAGGAAGGAAGTTAATTGTGCTCCACCGGTTCCAACGAACTTAGAAGAAATGGTTATTCCAGATCCATATAAGTACTACGTCAATGCGAAAAATGAAAAGGAATTATTTTTACTCGGTGATAGCGGACCCGTTGCCGATAGAATTTTGATCTTTGGACGACAAAAAAATTCAAAGGTAAAGTAAATATTTATTTTAGTAAGTTTTCATTATAACCAAGAATAAATTTCAAATGACATTTTTATGTACTTTTCCAAAAAAAATTCTAGTTGAATTTTTAAAGTCACAATAAAATATAAGGGTGAAGTATTCTTGACTTTTCATTATATTTATGTGAATAATTAAACATTTTTACTGAATTATTTATTAGTATTTATACATTATAAAGTTTTTTTTTTGTTATAGATCTTAGAAGAATCGGATCATTGGTTTGTCGATGGTACATTTAGATCAACTCCGTCTCTATTTTACCAAGTCTACATAATAATGGCAAAGAAATTTGATGCTGTTCATTCCATAATTTATGGGTTACTTCCGGGCAAAAGTACTTCAGTGTATGAATCGTTCATAAATATGCTGAAAGAATTATTTCCAAAGCCATTAAATCGAAAGAGAATCTCATGCTACTTTGAGTTGGCTGCGATTAATGCTTTCAAAGGTTGCTTTCCGTCAACGCAAATTTTGGGGTGTTTTTTCATCTAACTAAAAATTTGAAAAAAAATCTCAGACGAGGGACTTCTCCGGCGGTACAACAATAAAGCCGATTTTGCACTAAATGCAAGGATGATTACGTCTTTGGCTTTTGTGCTATTTGAAGACATTGATGGAGCCATAGAAACCTTAAGCGAACAAATACCCCAGGAATTACAGCCAATTTTAAATTGGTTCGAAGATTTTTACGTTGAACGACCGAATAGACGTAGTGTTTCAAGACGAAACCCAATGTTTCCTCCAAAAACATGGAACCTCTACCATAGGGTGCTAAATAGAATTGACAGAACAAATAATCATGCCGAAGCTGCACACCGACGATTGCAAAATGAACTGTCGATGGATCACCCCACTTTGTGGAAATTCCTAGACACTTTAAAAATTATTCAGAAAGGAAGAGACATATTTTATGAACAACTGGTTGCTGGAAAAAGTCCTCCAGCTAAACTTAAAAAGTATCAGGACGCCGACAGAAGAATATTTAAAATTGTGGAAAGTTACCACCAAGAAAATATTCTTGAATATTTGAGAGGATTATCTCATAATTACGAGATGAACCCATAATAATTAATGTTTAAAATTATTATTTTTTTATTTAATATATGAAATCTTGTAACACATATAACACTCTGCGCTATTTGGCCAAAATCATGTAAACCTTGTATATATAACAATACATACATTAAGAAAATATCCTGCTGTTACTTTTTGTTATAAACACTCAAAAATAATTGCAAAAAAAATCTAAACTACTTGTTATTAGCAGTTGTACGAGCTTTTAAAATATAAAAGTACAATGTTCTTATTAAAAAGTTTATACTGTCTGTTCCAAAAGGAGTCCAAGGCCGTAGCTGTCTTAATTTTTCCAAAACATTATTGTGTGGTACGTCCGTAAATCGATTTAAATTGCTATGATCAGAATTGCATTTTTTTTATCCTTTATTTGTTTTTGTTTATGACCAGAGTTGGGGACAGATACTTTTAAAATTATTTAGATACAGATATAGATATATGGAAAATAAAATTATCTACATTCAGATTGTTTCATTGTTTCGAAATGTATCTAGATAATAGATACAAAAAAAACATACTTTTTAAAACTTTGGCCAAAATAAAACTACTGACAACAAGTTTTTACTTATTTTGAAATAAATTTTTATCGGTGTAAGAAGTTGTCTTCCGCTGCTAAACACTTGCTGTAAAGGTGCAGAAGAAGGAACTATTTTGTTAAATTTAAAAGATTAGCATTTTACAGCAGTATTGAGTCACATTCTATTACAAAATTAATTTGTACTAATTAAAAAAAATAATCATTATGTAGTAATACGCAATAATTTTTTTTAGAAAATACACTGACCGGAAAAAAACCAGCCACCCTGAAAAATTTCTCAAAACCAAACTTTAAAAATTATTAATTTAGTTAGTGATCGTTATTTTATTAAAGAACCATTGACACATGATGTATATATAAATTACCAAAAAAAAAGAAGACAAATAAAGGCAAAATTTTATTTAATTTAATAAAATAACAGAAACAGAGTGACAGTTTGAGAACCATCTGTAAGAGTTAACGGCATTTTTTTCGTGTGAAAACGGTTATTAACTGCCAAACTTACAATCAAATGATGAAAAACACTGTTTACAACAACAACCTCCTTCATTGTTTTAATTAAGAAAATATCGTACTTGGTCTTGTGGTGACCGAATTTAAATCAAAATTTTCGCGCTGAAATTAATTAACAGCGGCGCGAAATCACATTTGAATAATTTGAATTTGAAAAAAAAATTCAATCACGAAAAGGGAATCGTTAAACATAGGCAACCGAATAGACATGGCTGGGTTAATGCATGATCATTGGGTTAGATGGCAGAACGTAGCGCTAGGGTGATTTCAGTTAGAGGGTTGGTAGAGGGAAGCTGCATAGGGTAGAATGTGTCATTATTATGAATGTGGCTGTGTGTGTGTAACCACGTGGTAAGAACTAGGTTTAAATTAGTTGGTTTGGTAGTTAATGAAACGGGAGGAAGCCTTTGTTTAACGACAATCAAACGTATTTTTCATAATGATACAGTTGTCCCCAACCCGCGCGGTTAATTCTTGCGCCCTTTTAATCAGAGAAATGCGGACTTCCGGTTGAACGCGAACACGTGCTGTAGATTTTGTTTCATTGTTTGTAAATTCACCAATCAAGCTAGTTTTTCTTAATACTCAGCTAGAGCAAACACAATTTAACAATCAGGATTATTTAAATCAACCATTTGCTAGAAGATTTCATTAAATTCACTTAGTCAGGAAAAACGCCTTATGTTTAATTACGAATAGGTCTCTGGATGCATATACGTAAGTGTTACATTATAACACTTCTAAATTCTTCACACAAGATTGCTAATAGTTCATTTACGGCAGTTAAACAAGTTGGGGGGGGGGGGGGGTTATGATATTTGGGTTATAAGATTTGGAAACTATCTAAGGTGGTCCCAGTTTTTAAGGGAGGGGATAAATCTAATGTGAGTAACAAAGTTTTTGAAATTGTCGTCCATTCCCGGTTAAATCAGCATATTAAAAATAAAATATCATTCAGTCAGCATGGATTTATAAGTGGAAGATCCACAGTCACTAATTTGGTCACGTTAACGCAAAATATACGAGGTGTGTTGGATGGCAGGGGACAAATGGATGTGATTTTCTTAGATTTCAATAAAGCGTTCGACAAGCTGGATCATGACTTGCTAATCTTGAAGTTGGAGAAATTATATGGGTTTTCTCCAAAATTGATAAAAATGTTTACCTCCTATTTACAAGACAGATATCAGTTTGTTGACTATTTTGGATACAGATCGACCAATGTTTGGCAGAGTTCTGGTGTTCCTCAAGGCTCGGTTTTGGGGCCGCTGCTTTTTGCATTGTTCGTTGATGATATCACTAAAATTATCGGAGACAACTGCTTAGTATATGCTGATGACGTAAAGGTTTTTTCAAAAATCGGAAATATTGCCGATTCTATCAAATTGCAGGAAGTTTTGGATAGAATTGTACTATGGTGTATAAACAATCGATTATTTTTAAATCCTGCTAAATCCAAAGTGATGTCTTTCACAAAAATTAAAAATGCAATGATTCATTGTTACACTATTTGCGGTCATGTAATAAATCGACCTGAATACATTAAAGATTTAGGAGTCACTTTGGACAACCAGCTAAATTTTGTCAAACATGTTGAATTGGTGGTATCAGCGGCTTACAAAAGTTTGGGGTTTGTGGTCCGTAATACTAAGTGTTTTCGTAACTCAAGTACATTCATTAATTTATATTATGCATTTGTAAGATCGAAGCTTGAATATGCCAGTGTTGTGTGGAATCCATCATTTAAGTATTTAACAGAATCTATTGAAAAAGTTCAGAGACGGTTCTTGAAATATCTGGTGTTTCGGATTGATGGCATATATCCCATAAGAAACATTCCTCAAAAATTATTGTTGAGTAGATTTTCCATATTAAGTTTAGAGTGCCGAAGAATTATAAACTTAGTAATGTTTTTACATTCCCTAGTAAACAACAGATTGGATGCTCCAAGTTTACTTGAACAAGTGTGTTATTGGGCTCGACCACGTAGTTTGCGAGACAAAAGCATCTTTTATATAAAAAAATCAAGGACGAATATTTTGAAGTTCTCGCCTATATATATGATGCAAATGTATTTTGATAAGTTCAATGCCGATGTAAATATTGATATTCACGTGGTCAGTGGCCAAGTACTTAAAAAGCATCTAACAAATTATTTTTTAAACAAAAACGGCACTGATATTGGTAGTGGTGTCTGATCATCTTCTTGAGATTGAGATTGGTTTTCTACTGGTTAAAACATTAAATTTTTCAGCAGTTTTTTTTTTTTTTACTCTCTCTTTAAATGAATAATTTATTTATATTTCTTTTTTTAAGCTTCGTAATTGGGTTGCGACCTGTGGAGCTTATATGATAATAATAATAATAATAATAATATTATTATTAAAATGTGAAAAAGTATCAGATTACAGTGTAGGTTCAGTCAATTAGATAAACACAAAAGAAATAATCTGTTGAAAGGAATAATTTGTTTCTGATTTGTTTAGATGATCTAAATTCAATAATTTAGTTCAACCCTTTGCGTGAGGCGACAATCAAGGGGCAGAATTTCGTTAGTTATTTGTTTTATTTTTTTATTCTTTTATTTCATTGTATTTTAATGTCATGTAGGTATGAGGTTTAGAATGGTTCAAATTTAATAATAGCATTATTTTGAATGGAAAATAGAATATGCTTTTCTGTTGTTCAAGAATAAGGTCAACCCTTTTTGATAGAGACAGGTATAAAATTGTAGGTTAGAGGTGTAAACGATTGTCGCTCAGCAATAACATAGCTTAACAAATTAGTTGAGTGTGGGGAAATAGGAAAAATCATCGATTTTCTTTGCGTAGTTCGATTTTAAGCAAGAGGCGACCTCTTTGAGAGGGTAGTTTAACAACTATTCCAGTTTCCTTTACACATAACAATCGATTTAAATTCAATAATCTTTCTTTCAGGAATAATAAACAAAATTTATTGTAGACATGTCAGTGTCAACCCGTGGTGTCAACGCTTTGAAAAAATCTGTCAAAAAAAAGAAAACAACCATCTACAACAACTTTTGGAAAAATAAGTTTGTATAAATTTATTCGGTGATTATAATTTTGATCACGCCATTGATCCAACGGATATTGTTGGATAACAATTTTGTAAACTTCAGGACATTAATTGTCATTAACAATTATAATTAATAATTAGATTGTTACATAAAATTGGTTCGGTCAATTTAAGAGAGGGGAGTGGAAGAGCTGAGCTTAAGCCAGCTAATGAGCCAATCACGGCACAGAATTCGTAAAAATTTGTCCCACTGGTACTGCGACGTCTCCAGTTTTGGCGTCACTATTTAAGTAAAAGTAGGGTGAAACAAGGGAACTTTTTAACTTTGCCTTGTGGGGGTTAAAAGCCGTTTCGTATAGTTCGTGCCAGTGGCGTAACAATCAAACTGCGGGCCTGTGTTCTACAACACTGTGGGGCCCCTAATGAACAGCGAAATAAAAATATTTAAAAATACGAGTATAATGAGTAAAGTATGAGTAGATTGCAATTAGGGCTTACGTTTTATTAAAATCATTCTACCTGAAACACTGAATTAAAAAAATAAAATACAATAATTACCTGAATACATATAATTAAAATACACACCTCAAAAAAATTAACGCAACATTTCAAATTTGTTAATAACAACTGAAAAAATTAAAAAAAAAATGTAAAAAACATGCCTTATGATTAGTTAGAACGAATTTTGTTTCATCTACGCAAAAAAAAGTTCCTTATCATTTGTAACTGGTGGATCTATTAAAAGAAAGAAAGTATCTTATCATGGTACCCTTATATCCAATTCTAAATCACATGTTTGTGAAATGTTTGAAGTGAAAACGTCATTTTCGCTTATAATGAATGTTCCTAATCGCATTACGCGTAATTTATCGAAGAAGCGGTCATTCGGGCTGCAGCTTTGATT